TCGCTTTCTGACCACGAGACCCGGGTTCGAATTTCACCATGGTCGATTTGTCAGAAAGGTCTGGAGGAAGCGATCCGAGCGTACAGCACCTTTGGAAAGTGCCTGAAAACCATACCACGGGTTGACCCAAGCGAATGAAATTAAGTAGATAAAACATTTAGGGTCCGTCGTTAGCTGTGCTAGCACGAAGTCACAAGTCATCGTGACCGAGGGTTTGGACGTGATGGCCTTGTTCAGACTGTTGATCACACTAAATAACACGCTTCTTCTCCCAGAAACTGTTACAAAGGTCTGCTCAGCAGAGTTGCAGTATAAACCACAGTGGGTGTTGAACAAACACAAAATACACCTGAGCAAGTGGCCTAGGAGACAGATATCCTCAAATATTAAAGTTATTAACGTAATGTTAACGTTATGTATGTATGTGTATATATGTTGGATGTTGACCTCAATGTCCACTTTTATATATATATATATATATATATATATGTGTGTGTGTGTGTGTGTGTGTGTGTGTGTGTGTAAAGAGACATTAGTAAAAAATATTCTTAGCTGATGTGTTTCTTCTTCTGAGAGACATTGCCTTGATAAAGTCAGTCATAGGTCGAAGCGCGTTGTCTAAGAAAAAAATTTTCCTCTTGTCTCTTTCCATCCATTTTGTATACTCTACAGATACATTCTATCTGATAATACACACACACACACACACACACACACACACACACACACACACACACACACACACACACACACACGTCGGTCACTCTGTGTGTTTATATAAAAATAAATACGCTAAAATTCACCTTCATCCATGCTGGGTTTCGATCCTAGTTAGAAGCAACCGGCTGTCTAGCCACACTGAAGAGCTGCGAAACAGTCTGTTTGTGGATGACTATCTATCTATATATATATATATATATATATATATATATATATATATATATATGCCGTAGAAGCAAAAATGTCCAAACCATGAAACAGCATGGAATAATTGTCCACCCCACAAAATGTTTAATATCTAGAAAAACATTGAACTAATTGAGTTTCTTTTTTTCAATTTTACAGATAAGACGTTTAACCATCTTGATACCATTTGTCGTAAGAATCAGTGAAAACTCTTATTTAGCTAGAAAGAGAACAGGCTAAAATCATTTTCTGTCAGCCCCACTATGAAAAAAAGATCATTCAGGCCTTCAGAAATGGTATCAAAATTCATAGTCTGGCTTCCATCTTCAAAGTCCATTCAAGAACCATCAAGAGAATGGTGAATAAGTTTTTAAAAAAGGGAACAGTAGAAAGGAAAATTGGATCAGGAGGTCACAGCAGGAAGAGGGATCATCATTTCAACTTAGAGCTAAATGCATTGATATTGTTCAAAGTACAATTCGGTAATGTTGTAAAAACCTCGGATAATTCCAGTAAGATATCTTTAATCATTTCTAAGATACAACGGTTCAAAGCTTAATCCAATTGGCCAATTCCAGATGCTTTTCATCGATTGCTTTCTTTCATCGGTCCATTTGGTAATAGAATTTGCCTGAATCCAAGATCTAATTTTACGGAAAGAGGTAGTAATACAGAATGTCATACCAATTCCAACATATAAACAACATCACTTTCTTACGATCAAATCACGATGAAAACAGCGGTTCTCTTTCGATCATCGAAGTTAAGCATCGTAGTGCCAGTTAAGTATTAGGTTGGTGCAAAAATAATGTCGTTTTTTGACGTTAAGTTGAACGTCAAAAAACGACATTATTTTTCCGCCAACCTAATACTTAGATGGCGGACCGATTGGGAATACCTGGTACTGTAAGCAGACCCCTACTAGCGAGGTAAATTTCCTTATTGGGCACCTCGGTGTGATGCAATGGTTAGCAAGCTTGTCTCGCTAAAACAGTTACGGCAGAATAGCGAGTTCTATCCTCACTCGGTGGCCCATACATTCGGCCTTGTGCCACATCTAAGCTACGCTTAGAAAACCAATATAAACAGCTTCACTTTGTTGGGATGCAGACTGATTTTAGTTAGCAGTGGATCATTCTCTTTCTCTTTCACTTTTTCTTCTTTTTTCTCTTTCTGTCTCGCTTTCTCTTTTTGCCTGCTATCTCTACTCGACTGTTTTTCTTTGTCTCTCTTTTTCACTCTCTTTCCATTTCTTCCTCTCTTTCATTTCTCTCACCCTTTTCTTTCTTTCTCTCTTTCTCTCTCTTTCTGGCTTTATGTCTATTTATTCCCCTTCCTTCATTCTCTGTCATTCTTTCTCTTTCTTTGCTTCTCTTCCTCCGTTTTTCTTTCTTTTCCTTCTTACTCATTCTTTTCCTTCTCTCTCTTTCCTCTCCGTCTTTTACTACTCTTTTTCTCTCTTTTTCTTTCTCATTCATTTTTTCTCTCCCTTTTCAGTGTTTCTCTCTTTTCTGTCTATTTATTCCTCTCTATCTCGTCTATTGTCTCTAATTCTATCTCTATTCATCTCTCTCTTTTCTCTTCTTTCTCTTTCATTTTCTCTCCTTCTGTCCCTTTCTTTTGTTTTTTTTTATCTTTTTCTCTCTCTTTCATTCCTTCGCTTTGATTTTCTCTCCTTTTTTTTGTTTTCTTATCTCTTTCTCATTGCTCTAACCTTTTTCTCATACTTTCTTTCTTTTTTATTAAAATGATTTCCAATAAATTACTAAACATTTTTTTATCATTTCACCCCATGTAAAGCAATAAAGTCACTGTGACACAAGGGATTGTTGAGGGTAACTCTTACAGAGTCACCACTGTCACAAGAACTAAACTTGTGATAGGCTATACGGTACTTCATACTGTCAGTAAACAAAGATATTGAGGACATGTTTGCAATTATAGCGAGCGGACGCAAATATGCGTCTGTTCTGATCAGAGCTATTACACTGGTACAGCCGGAAAAAGTGATAACTATGGGTTATTGCTGATAAATAAGTAGGTGTAAACTGACAAGATTGTGATTTAATGTGGTAAAATAAAAATCACTTCTTTTTTTTTTACTTCGGCATATTTCAAAACGAATATGTTACGCAATGAAGAAAGCAGAATAGAGAAAGAATAAAAAAAATGAAAAAATAAATACATAAAAAGAAAGAAAATAAAATAAGAAAGAAAAGGAAGAGAAAGAATAAGGAAAATAACAAAACAAAAGAAAACAAAACAATGACTGAATAAATGAAGGAAACACAAAGAAAGAAAGAAAGAAAGAAAGAAAGAAAGAAAGAAAGAAAGAAAGAAAGCAAAGATACAAGAAAGAGAAAGAATAAAATAGAATTAGGCAATGAAAGAAAGAAACAAAGAAACAAAAACAAGCACAAAAGGGATAGTAGAAAACAAAGTGATATTAAGGAAAAGCGGGTTAAGAAATAAAATAAGGAAACAAAGAGAAAGAAAAGAAAGCAAAAAATATAAAGAAAAACACGTAAATAAGTAAATAAAAACAAAGACGAAAAGACGTAACGCGTAAAGAAAGGGGGAAAAAAGATGGAAAAGAAAGAAAGGAAAACAAACGCTTTAAGAAAGGAAAAGAACTACATGAAGAAAGAAAGGAAAAATACACAGGTTAAAAAGGAAAACAAAGACGAAAAGAAAGGAAAGCAAACGCGTAAAGAAATAAAAGAAAACATAGAAAGAAAGAAAGAAAGAAAGAAAGAAAGAAAGAAAGATACGTAAAAAAGAAAGGAAAACAAAGACGAAACTAAAGAACGGAAAATAAACATGTAAAGAAAGAAAAGAAAAAAAAAACCTATAAAGAAAGAAAGGAAAACCCATATATAAAGAAAGAAAGGTACACAAACGCGTAAAGAAAGGAAAACAAAGATAAAGAAAGGCATACAAACGCGTAAAGAAAGAAAGGCAAACAAAAGCGTCAAGAAAGAAAGGCAAACAAAAGCATAAAAAAAAAAAGAAAACAAACACGTAAACAGAAAGGATAAACTAGTAAGAAAAGTAAAAGAAAGAATAAAGTGAATGTTAATATGAAATGAATGTTAAAAGGATAGACAGAATTAAATGAAAACCAATTAAAAAGAAACTGAAAAGATAAAGTTAAACACCGGCGATGATATGTAGCACTAAGGAGAAAACGATAAAGATTATGTTGAACTGGTCAAAAGACTAAAAAGACGTTGGCGTTCATTGCATGAGGACAAATCAAATATTAATAAACTATTGATTATACGGGCAATTAGCTCAACAAAACTTGTTTCCAGTAAAGAACATCTTTTCCACTTAGTTTCACGTGAATATAAGACATAGCGCATGCGCACTGAAATATGAGTGTATAAACGCATATCTGTATGTATCTTAAGCGTGGGTGTCTCATTCTGCTTACAATTCTTAATTTCCAGTGGGTAAGTGAATAACAGTGAATGAAGAAAATGAGAAAAAGAAAGCATGGCTAAACATGTTTCTTAGTTACTAGCAGTCGACTAGCCGGCGGCTATGTCCTTGTCTGGGAAGCCCATTTTCGACGCCGACACATCTCAACAAACTACACTTTTGATAATGACGCTACACAGTCTTCTGAAATATCACCTCTTTCGAACAGACGCTACGTCGCGAGCCTATTACATCTGTGTCGCTACTTCGATTGCAAATGTTTAGATCAGCTCCATTCGTCAGTTCCGCCAGTCCAGACCCTTATAGCTAGGAATAGTGGATAGATAATTATATGCTCTGATTTGGGGCACTTTGAAAACACGGTATTGTCGAGCACTATCAGCTACACTCGATGTAACATCTAGGGCTAACCGATGGTGTAGCACTTGTCCATTTTAAAAAAATAACAGTAAACAGATGGAAATTTTTATTGTCATTGAATATATATATATGTGTGTGTGTGTGTGTGTGTGTGTGTGTGTGTTTGTACTCAGTCAAATTTGTTTTTGTATCTGTAAAGATATAAAGGAATTTTTCAGTGCGCCACGTCGCTCTCGAATGTGACACATCAGTTTAAAGTGGATTTGACGGTTATACCGTCGGAAAATTGCCCTGTCCCCCTTGATACTTCTCCTTTTGGGGATGCCTCGGGCACTGAACAATAAAGCACTCTCCCGAAGGTAAGATACTGCCTGGAGTGTACCCACTCACTGGGCTTTGGGGTTATATTTTTTTAAAGCTTCCCCGAATAGGCTTTCGCCTATAGCAGGTAAGTAAAGATATAAGATAAGAGACATCCGGGCATCCAGTTGACTCAACGGATCACCGCTCGGAAAAACATTTTAATGGACAAAAGATTATCGTAGAATTTACTGCTTCACAGCTTATGCTACGTCCTGTGCGCCAACAATGGTGCTATTTTGCAGTGTTGCCCCTATTTTTCTCATATCCATATGCAAATGAATAAATATACCTCTGTCAGTAGTATTTAATACTTATTTCACTTGAAAAATACTTTTTTTTTTCAGATGAGTTTAAACGGGGTCCCCATAACATCATCATTCAATTACAGGTATTTTTTTTATTTTTGACTTCTTTAAGATAGCGCGATTTGAATGTACCTTATTTCAATATAAACATAGCTAAACATGTCGGTTAATTAAATACTTTATATACAGTGGGTTGCAAAAGTATTTAACACATTGGTTTTTCTTACATATCTCAAAAAATAACAAATCAATTTCAACTAAACTTATAGGAAATATTTAAACAAACATTGTCGATCAAAACATAGAAGTAAAATTTAAAACCACTGTTTTGAGAAACATTTATTGACAATAAATAAAATAACCCATATGCAAAAGTATTTAACACACTTTACTAATATTTAGTACAGTAGCTTCTGTTCTACTTCACAGCCTCCAGTCGTTTCCCGTAGTCTTCAACTAGTTTCCTGCAGGTACGTCTTGGTATTTTGACCCATTCTTCTTCACAAATTTTCTTCAATTTGTTTAAATTCGATGGATTTCTTTTATGAACTCGTAACTACAATAGTTTCCACAAATTTTCGATTGGATTTAAATCCGGTGACTCTCTTGGCCATTCCAGGACATTAATGTCATTATTATTAAACCAATTCTTAGTTGTTTTAGCAGTATGCTTCGGGTCATTGTCTTGCTGAAATACAAAATCACGACCATGTCCCAAAGATGTGGCACTGTTCAAGAGTTGACAAAATTTGAGTGTATTTTGCAGCATTCATTGTTCCTTCGATGATTTTCATTTTTCCTACTCCATTTGAGGAAAAACAACCCCACGTCATAATATTTCCACCCTCATGTTTGATTCTAGGGATAGTATTTGCTGGCTCGTATTCCGCTCCTTTTTCCTCCATACATGAGTGCGCATATTTCGTCCGTAAAGCTCAATTTTGTTTCGTCTGACCAAATTACTTTCTCCCAGAAATCATTAGATTCAATTTCATATTTCTTTACAAAATTCAAACGGGCTTGTACATGTCGGCGTTTCAGTAATGGAGTCTTTCTCGGTGATATTGAAGTGAAACCGTCACGATTCAGTGATCTTTTAATTGTATCTTTACTAACTTCAATTCCGGCATTTTTCAAGTCATTCTGAATTTCTCGATGAGTTGAAAATGGATTTTTCTTCACAGTACGGGAAATGTATCGCTCATTAGCCTCATTTAAGATACGGGGACGACCACTCCTTTGAATGTTTTCAATAGTATCGAATTTTTTTCCATTTTCGAACAACAGCACCAACTGTACTCACCAGCAAATTCAAATCTTGAGCGATTTTTCTATATCCCTTACCATCTTTGTGATTCTTTATGATCTTCTTGCGCATGTCGTTCGACAATTCTTTTGTTTTCACCATTTTCTTGCAGTAGTGGCAACAGAATAGCTGCAGTGTCTCAAAGCTGTTATCTAATAGCCAGTTGGGTGTTGTGCAGTGCTGTCATTAGTCAACATATCACATCATATCAATATGGGTAGGAATGATGACGACACGTCTCTTCTAGCATAATATTTGCATTGGTGTTAAATACTTTTGCATATGGGTTATTTTATTTATTGTTAATAAATGTTTCTCAAAACAGTGGTTTGAAATTTTCCTCCTAGGTTTTGATCGACAATGTTCGTTTAAATATTTCCCATAAGTTTCGTTGAAATTGATCTGTTATTTTTTTAGATATGTAAGAAAATCCAATGTGTTAAATACTTTTGCTACCCACTGTATATATATATATATATATATATATATATATATATATATATATATATATATATATATATATATATGTATGTATATTTGAGCAGTTTCATTACATACGGTTGACAAGAAAGATATAATTGAATTTTATTAAGTTTTATCAGCATCCTTGCTGTTTTCCGATTTCGACATATGAGGATCCGACTGCCTCATTCAGTTTTCATATTTGTGTCGTACGTCATACTTTTGTTCCGTAAGTGACCTGCATACATGTCCGCATATTGTGCAACAGCGATGATCTCGAGACATAGTAGCAGGAATATTTCCTGATGCTTTTCACCATTGTTTTTCGTCTCTTAGCCGGTTAGTACGACTGATTTCGAAATTTGTGATACCCCTCTGGACCAGATATCTCCAGTTATTTCTGTCCAGGACAACTCGCTCTAACTTAGTATGAGGCACACTAACAGCTGAGAAGTTACTCGTTAGCTTGCCTTTATACCCGAGTCAGCGCCTACCAACAGTTTTTTTTTTGTCCACTGTCAAGCTGGCTATACATGAAGACTTTAGGTATTCTGTCGTCACTCATACTTGCAACATGACCAGCCCAGTGAAGTAATGACTGCATCAAGAAAGTTTACAGACACACAAAATCAGCCTTTTTCCATTATGGTGGAAAAGTACAGATCCTAATCTTGATTACCAGCTATCCAACACTAAAGCATAACTACTTAAAAATGTTAAACATCCCGAAATCAATTACTAATATGAATAAACAATTTCCGTTCCCACATCATCTCAAATCACGTGAAATTAATATCCGGCCATTTATTTATTTAAAACCCAATCATTTCCTTCCAGTGGGCAGACACTTGTTGTTCTTGCTCTTGCTGTTTATAATAATAATAATAATAATAATAATAATAATAATAATAATAATAATTACTAGTTCTCACCCGTGAAAATTCCACAGTTTTCCTACTTTGATAGTCTGATGAATCTTAATTCTTCATGTAATGATTGAGTAAGTTTATGGTAAGTTCTACGACAATAAGATATCCATAGAAATTCCCCTATTGCATCGGAAAGTATTTGAGCTTAACAACTTTAACAAAATATTACAATAACAATCATAAAGATGAATGCTGGTCGTAAATTTAAGAAGTGGGTACAAATGAAAAGATTTGAAATTGACAATATTTTCCATTTCACTGAACAAAAACTGTTCTATATTCCCTTCTTTCTTTCTTACATTTTCTCACTGAAACTAAGTAGCGTATTTCTCCCTCTTCCCACGCGATCAAAGACCATCATTTATGATGTATTGGCAGGGAGTAACGATCGTGCGAACTAACGAAGTCAGGGACAAGCACAATTATATTATTATTATTATTATTATCATTATTATTATTATTATTATTATTATTATTTTCAGTTTTGATTTGCCGTTTGATGCAATCACCTGAGACCTAAGGTAAAATAACTTTCTTGTTAGATAGTTACAAATTAGATTGAGTAAGTATGTGAACGGTTATCCCTAGCACAAATATTTGTATTTTATTATTATTATTATTATTATTATTATTTTGTTTTTCTTCTTCTTCTTCTTTACTCATTGGCATATTACACTGAATATTAAGTGAAAGTAAGTCTCCTCAATACTCCAGCAGTCTTTTTGGTATCGTAGTCATTCAGCAATATCAAATTTCACTTGATTTATAGTTGCTCCAGTCTATTAACACGTTTTTGGAACCTTTTCCAGAAGTCTATTATTATTATTATTATTATTATTATTATTCATAATAATAATTTATTTATTTAGTCAGCCAGATCAGTGGTGGGTTTCTCCTACAAAGGGGAATGCATTTCGAAGCCTGTCTGAGAACACATTTTCAGTAGTAGGTGTTTCGAATGCGCAGGCCGGTAGACGAAATGTATTCAAATATTGGTTTGCCCAAAATAAGATTTGTATTTAATCCAAACTTGCGTTGTCATCAGAGGTGGGAGGTGGGATAAGAAAAGAATATTTAAAGCGTTTTAAGAAATCGATTTATGTTATTTTTGAAATCTGATCGAATGTTACTTGACATGGCACCAACAATTAATAAACTTGTGCAGAATAGTAGACAATGTGTTAAGAATAATACTTTTTAAAAGAATTAAAGAATTTTCTTGTCTCACAAACATCCACTGATGATGAACGTCGAATAGATAGATAGTGAACAGACTGAGATAGATAGATAGATAGATAGATAGATAGATAGATAGATAGATAGATAGATAGATAGATAGGGAAAAGACTAAGATAGAGAGAGAGAGACAGAGACAGAGACAGACTGAAATAGTTTTGGGTGTTCTCTTTTCCAGAAAAAAATCGACGTAGACTAATATTCCAACAACTCCATTTGGTAAATATTGAAAAAAAACTATTAGACCTTAATTTAGGCTCCTAGCACTCCTAGACGATAAAACGTTTCAGTTAATAAAATTTATAAAAATTATAGAGAATATCCAACGACCCATTTTATTCCAACCATTGGGTTTATTTGAAACTCAGGCATAGTTAGATAGATTCTTCTATGTACCGTGTCCCTTCAGGACGTAGGCGATCATGGCTCTCCACAATTTCTTTCCCTTTGTAGCTCTTAATAATTTTTTTTTTTATCTCTCCTAAACCTTATCCCGCCATCCATTTACTCAAGCTCACTAAATTATGAGTTTTTTTCTCAGTCCCTTTTGCCTTCAACTTGTTCTGTGAGTATCAGACTTTCCAATTCTTCTTTCCTGATTATGTACCCTAGAAATTTCAACTGTCTTTTAAAGATGTTAAGTATAAGTTTCTTTTTTGTTTCCATTTTATCTAAAACCTCATATGTTCAGTCTATATAGATATAAACCGTGAACGCGTCGACGTAGTGTAATGGTTGACAAGCTTTATCTCGATTGTTCAGTTACGACTGAGACGTGAGTTCAATCCTCACTGGGTGGTCTGCATTTTCGGCCTTGTGCCACATCTAAGCTACGCTTAGAAAATCATAATAAAGATATAAACAGCCATAGCGATGCTCTTCTTACGTTATCGTAGTCTAAAAATAAAACAATCTACTGTAGCTAATTTCTTTTTCTTCACAAAATGTCAACTTTGTCACTTTCTCCATGAATCGCCGATGATGAAATTCTTTCCGGATCTTAACGAGCCTTACTTATTATACTGAACCTATGGCTACGCGTTGGCGTGAAAAACGCAATGATTACCGTGGCAAAAGTAATTACATTCTTTGCTTTCACTTCTCAGTGTTTTTTTCCCTTGCTTTTATTGTTTTATCACCAGCACATTGTCTCGTATTTCGACCCTTCAAACAATATTTGGATGGCTGACTAATAATAGCACTTGTTGATAGCTTACTCATCAAGATTTTGCAATTTCGAGTGCTTCCAGTAAATTTCAGCTAAAGATTTTTATTAAAACTATCACTTCACTCAAACTTACATACACCTACGTTTTATGTTTTAAACGTAGGTATATATATATATATATATATATATATATATATATGTGTGTGTGTGTGTGTGTGTGTGTGTGTGTGTGTGTGTGTGTGTGTGCGTGTGTGTGTAAGCAATTCACCCCAAGCAAAGTGGGTGTACCTTTAGTACGCATGGAGCTACAGTGAGTGTAAGTAAATAAAAAAACTGAGTATAGAGATGGCTTTAAGGATGAAAAGAAGAATGGATATCACGGCATCAGACGATGTCGATTGACATTACATTTAAATTTTTGAAGATTATCAGGGAGTCAACTAAGAGGAAAGGATTTCCACTGTTAGGAAGTGCGAGAAAAGAAAATTTTGGGGTAGAAAAGGTGATTACAAATTATATTTAACTGTTTCGACAGTAAAAGGGTGGGACTGAGATGCAAAACCTACTGTAAGCATAAATTCATGTAGTCCAGTGAAAATAGCACGTCAGAGCAGATGCCATGAAAAGAAAAGACAGAGGGAATCCGCATTACTTCAGTGAGAAAGTGACTGGAGTCGAACCCGCGTGTCACAACCGATCACATTGCATATCTGTTTTTGGATTTTGTCGAGAACATCGAGATGAACAGCGGGGGTACCAGACTTTATGTGGCAACAGGATTCCATACATGGACGAAGGGTAGATTTTTAGAGATGAAGAATAGATGCAGACGGGAAAAACATTCTGGCGCGACACAGAGAACCATCTTTCCTTGAGTCAGATGCAGTAATTGATTCAATGTAGTTGTTCCACCTCAAGTCACTGGAAAACATGAGATCAAGAAGTCGAAGTGAAGCGATCTAGTAGAGTTGAACATCAACCATGCTAATAGAAAGCAAGAACGTTTCTCTATGTTGATTCAATGACAGAGTTTTGGATGCATAAAAATTAACAAACCATTCCCTGCCCTCAGTCAACCACAGACTGGAGGTCGTTTTCGAGACCAACGGCCATGTTCATTTTGTCAGCAATGCCGGATTTAGTATTAAAAGAGGAGTAAATGGTAGTGTCATCTGCGTAGATGCCGTCTTGAGACCTGATGACGTCAGTAAAATCATTGATGAAGATTAGAAACATTGTAGGCCCCAGGTTAGAGCCTTGAGGAATACCAGCGTTCGTATGGAAGGAACTAGAAGAGAACCCATTTAAGACAACCTTCATTTCAAGGTTAGACAGGAAGGATTGGATTAAATCCAATAACCGTCCTTTAATGCCGTATCGCTGAAGCTTACGTAGAAAGACAGCACACTAAACCCTGTCAAACGCCTTAAAGATATCTAGAGCCACGGCTCGAGGTTCGCTGTTATTATCAAGAGCTTGGTATACATATTCAGTTATGTGTAGACCAGGCAAAATGGAAACTATATTGCCTGTCAGAGAACAGATTGTGTTAGGTGCGATGCTTAACTATTTCGACATTGATTAAAGCCTCGTAGAATTTGACGACGGGTGGCAGGAGGGAAGGAACTTCGTTGAGAGCCGAAATGGATAGAGGAAGAGGTGGAGAGCCATGATCGCCTACGCCCTGAAAGGACATGGAACATAAAAAGAAAGATACTTGGACTCATGTCGGCGATCAAAAACTTAGCATCACTGAGGACACTTTTACAATTTTTACGAACGGACACAAATTGACTTTACAATAGAGTTTATGTGCGTTGATTAAATCCCCGGATGTGGGGTGTTGTACTTAGTATTTAAATTAACAAAAAATACTCAGAGATAGGCTATTTTAATAAATTGAAGCATTAATACAAAAAATATTAATACCGAATGTTATTTTCCCATATTATGACTTTATTGTTTACACATTTCACTTTAAATTTAAAAGATTTTAAAACTGATAACAAAAATGTCCATATCTGAGCGAAGGAGGATTTTCTTACGACCTTTTTCGGTGAGATAACGTTATGACAAACATTGGTATTCAAAAAATGTTTTAAAATACGGAAAGTCAAAAGAAGTGGAGACTTTTTATTTGATTAACATTTTAATTAACATTTTACAATCAAAATGACGGAAAGCAATATGGCAGCGTTTAGCTTGACATTTCCAATAGAAAATCTTATTATTTATGATTTTTCTATTATATTTGGATTTTTTCGTTTGTCTTATTCACGCATTCACCTCATTTTATTGTTCTTCACTTCTTTTTATTTAATCTATTTTTGACCTATTTTCCTTCAGTCACTTTATTTGAAGCAACTCTTTTATTTTTATTTATTTTTCCTTTCTTTTTTTCATCTTCATTTGTTTTCTTTCTTACCTAAGTTTTTCTCTCTTTCTTTTTCATTCTTTCTTATTCTTTTTTGTTCTTTTTTTTCTTTCCATCTTCCTCCATTTTCTTTCCTTTTTTTCTTTCTTCGTTCTGTCGTTGTTCTTTCTTGTCTTCTTTTTCTTTATTTCCTCTTTCTTTCTCTTTCTTCCTTTTTACTTTATATTTCTTTCTTTTCTTTTCTTGCTTTCTGTCTTTTTTCTTTTATTTGTGTATTTGGATCTTTATTCATTCTTTATTCCATTCACTCTTTTTACGTTTCTGTCTTATATATATATATATATATATATATATATATATATACTAGCAGAAATAACCGTCGTTGACTGGGTTTGGAAGAAGCTGCTAAAATTGCACTATGTCTTTGAAAGATATTGATTAGAGAGTATTATAATATATAAATGGCTGTTTAAACTCATGTAGGTGATACTGTTATATCCATCCAGGTAACGCAATAGAAAGGACTGCTAGTTGTCATATAGAACAAAGTGGTGCTTTCTCCACGTCACTATCATCATAGTTGCATATAACCTTCTGGTTTGCGATCGGTATATTTTCATCACTAAATGAAGCAATCATCACATCAGTCAGTTGTGTGCCATGCAAAATACACGCATAGGCGACCATGTATCTTTCGATACATGACTAACGAGGCAGATGTTTTCCCGCAGTAGGTTGCCATTTCTTTCTGCGGTAGACCAGTTGCCATCCAAGGCTATAGAACCCGATCTGTACTGCTATTTATCCATAGCTGTGAGGAGAAGAAAAGTATTCATACCTTTTCCAATGTTATTAGCACGTAAGTGAATGTAATAAATTTGACTGAAATTTGAACTCGGCTCTCCGATTCTTCAACCCGAGCCGCTATCAATTACTCCACCATGAAGACTATAAACATCTGCATATTACAATATTATTTTAAGTCTTATAGCAGACATCAATAATAAAAAAAAATATACCATTATAGTAATGTTTATTTTCAGTCTAATATATCCAGTTGCCTAGCTGCTGCATTCTCTCAAGTATTAATTCTGATTTTCCTCGCCCTTACTTCTAGAGTTTCAAATTGTCTGGCAGCTGCAGTCCGCTGCGTATCCAAGCTACGTCTCATTTCACTTTCTTCTTGAAAAATGAAAGCATATTTCGATTCGCATTTAATTTTTTCGTCTCGGATGCTACCTGAATTTTATCAAAAAGAAAATAATTTCCATGCCTGAAGATGACTGAATGTACAGTTGAAAGTACTTGCGTATTAAAGAAGGGCCTTATACAGCTTATAATTTTTAAAAACAAGGATCATAACATTCATCGAGTGATTTGTAGGTTAATGCACCTTTAAAATTTGGTTAGTGAAGGGATTTCGCCATTTTATATCATTAACTTTACTAATTTACTTTTTGTATGAATGATTCATTGTAATATAAATTGACCTGCACAGATATTTGATATATATATATATATATATATATATATATATATATATATATATATATATATATATAATAATATATATATATATAATTATAATATATATAATATATATATATATATATATATATATATATATATATTACAATTGAATATGTGCATATAGTGTGTGTAGATAACATCAATATGTCCATAGCCTAATGTAAAAATGCATGTATTTTATATAACAAATAATAATCTTTAAGAAAATTACCTTCCTTATTGAAACATTTAATTTCATGATGAATATTAATTGCCTAGGCAGAACATTATACATTGAAAAAGTTCAGTAAATAACGTTACGTCAGGTTACAAACTTATTGATCCAAATTCGTGTGTATTTATATGTATGTGTGTGTTGGTTTTAAAAATGATTTTGTCTCTGCTTTTATAGCACAAAAATACGACATTACGTAAATTTTAACTTAGTGAAACTCAGCCCGATCCTTGATTTTTATCTTTCACTTAAAATAGACATTTATTTTCTTCATTTTTTTTTCTTTTCTTTTTCCCTTACTAAAAATATGCCCACCTGATTTTAGTCCAGTTGCGATGCTGAAAGCATTTTGTCAGAAAAGTTTTCGTTAGAACACTGGCCTGGCCTGAAATATATGCTGATGCAAACAAATAAAATACGATAGTCTTATATGAAAAACAATCATTTTTATTTAACGGCTGAAAAGTTCTCAGGATGAGAAAGTACGTAACTAGTCACACCAGTTAGTAGACTAAAAGCTTTTGTATTGTGGCACGCGTGCACATTTTTTAGTCTACCAACTGGTGCATCTGACATTTAAATCTTGGTCAGACTATGAACTTTTTCGCCAACCCTCGTATAAATTATTTATAAATACGAAGTATTAACCTAAAATACTTATATGATCTTAGTATTTTAATTAA